GTTTCTTTTATTGGGAAAAAGATTACAAAAAAAACATAAATATATTTTTGGGGGGGGGGGGGTGAGAAGGAAATTACAATTTTATTTATAGTTCGATGGAGGGAAATTTACATATATAACTATACATGAATTTATTATTATTATTTTTAATTTATCGTAGAAAGAAGATATTATATGAATTTGAACAACGGTGAGGAAAATTAGCATAAACATTGGTTTTCCTCAAGATCCCGGAGTACTTTTACAAAGAATACATTGATGAAATCGTTTGAAAGTTGCAGTTGATAGTGGCAAATGTTCAGCTGACATGACCCTGACCCGGCCCCTGGCGATTAAGTTTTAATAAAACCTGCACTAAAGGCGCGTGCGTTGTTCATTTCTATCACGTGCGTTTCTTTTGATTTCACTTTCGATCGCTCAGCTTCGTGTGTAGCAACTGATCACCTTCAGATTCATGTACGACTACTTCGGTGTTGGAATGTTTTGTTGGGTTTTTTGTTTTTTTTTGCCTCAGATTCACCTGCCTCGCGTTCATCTCTCAACAAATTTAATTTTGAAAGATTCAGGGCAACAGATGGCGCCATAAACTTCTTTAAGGGGCGGGAGCGCTCCCGGCTCGGCGGCTTCAAGCCGAAACCGCTGGAGAATCCCTGAGAGAAACAAGAAAAGTTCCATCTTGGCCATCGATTCCCCGAGGCAGACCCGCCTCCCAATCGAAAACGGGATAAACTCCTCCGGCTGCCTCAAGCCGCCAGTCTCGTCAAGGAACCGGTCCGGCCGGAACACGCTGGGGTCCGCCCAGACCTGCTCGTCGTGCAGGACAGAATCGATGTTGGGGAGGACGATGCTGCCTTCGGGGAACGCGTAGCCGAGAGTTTCGAACCCGGTGCGCACGGCTCTCGGCGTAGCGAACGGTGTGATGCTCGAGATGCGCTGGGTCTCCATGATGACGGCGTTCAAAAACGGCAGTTTGGGTTTGTCCTCCATGCAGACGGCGCGTCCTTTCCCGACGCTGGCCACGATCTCCTCTTGGGCTCTGCTCTGGATGTCGGGGTGGTGAAGGAGGTACAGCAGGCACCACAGGATTATGGCGCTGGCGGTGTCCGTGCCCGCGATGAACAGATTCCGGATGACGGCCACCAGGTTGGCCTCATCCATCTGGGTCGGCTCGTCGGCCCGCTGCCGTTTCTTCATCTCCTCCAGGTACGCGGCGATGAAGTTCTCGGGCTTCTGGAGATCGACGCCGCCGGCGGTTTCCTTGATCTGGTGGATGTGGGCGAGGGAGAACATGGTGTTGATTTCCCTGAAGCTGGCCACGAGTCTTTTGGCGTAGAAGAGATCCCCGGGGACGTAGTAGAGGAACGGGAAGAACGTGAGAAGAGGCAGCCAGGCGATGTACTTGGTGACGCGGCTCATGTGGTTGATGAGCCCGACAAAGTAAGGGTCGTCGTGCGTGAACCTCCTGCCCACGGTGATGGAGCATATGATGTTCGAGATGCTGACGGTCGTCAGGATCCTCACGTCCACTGCCCGCCCCTGGTAGCTCGCGAGCTCGTCCGTGTAGCTGGACACCTCGTTCTGGATCTTCTCCGCGAGAAGGTTCTTCCCCAGCCCGAAAGATTTCAGGATGGACATCGAGACGTTCCTCTGCTCCTTCCAGTTCTCGCCGTTGGACTCGGCGATCCCCTTGTTGTTCTCTTTCAAAATGCGGTTGAGGAACGAAGACGGCGGATCGGAGACTTTGTCCGCGTGCTTGACCAGGACGTCCTTGAATGTCTTGTATCCGTTGATGACGATGTAGTGCTGACCTCTGAAGTTCAGGCTGTAGACGTCACCGGCCATTGCCCGCCACTGCCGCATCGTCGCTCGGCTATTGCCGGCGAGCTGTGTCAAGTGGCCGAAGAGGAAGGTCGGGGGAGTGGGAAAAGGGGGCGTATTGGGAGGGAGGGGCCTCTTCTTGGGTCGACTGAGCCACAAGTACGACGTGAGGACTGTGACGGCAGACAGCAGGATCCAATGGGAAGTTTGCAGCGAGTCAAGTAAGGTCAACATTTCCAACGTTGTCTCTTTCGGATGCTGAAATAGAATTTTTTTTTTTTTAAATAAATAAATAAATTTCATTTAACACCAGAAATAACCCGCCAAACAAAGGCGGCGGCTGCGGCAGTGTGCGAACTTCCCATTGACTCATGTTACCGGACAAAAGCTTGCATTTAAGTAAAGAACTTTAAAAAAATTTATATGAATATCAATTAGTGCTAGCTTCTGGGAATTTTTATTTTGCGCGCCTATTGAACTCAGCATTACAGCCATACATGCAAACCTAGAGAACATTATTTATTTATTTGTTATGCATAATTTCCTTCCTTGAACTTCCGTTAGTTGTTGTCATCGTTTCCCTTTTGTATAGCACTATACCTATTTTACCTAAAATTTCGTGGCATGCCTTTATACACTTCGGCTGAACAGAATAACTTCGAAAAGCCTTAATTTTTTATTCGTTTATGCCGGATACATATATATATTTTTTTTAAAAACATCAACAAAAAACAATCGCTGATTTTGTTTATAATAAAAAAAATACAGGTCAGTTTTTGTTTTTTTTGTTTTTTGTAGTTTTTTTTTTTGTTGTTTTTTATGTAAAGTAGGGTGTGGGAGTGAGAGCGGGTGGGGACTGAAAAGAGAACAAGAGAGATAAGTCTGCGGTGTAAAAGCGGGTGGTACATTAGAAGATCAATATAAAAAAATGTTTATGAAAATGATATATAATAATAATAAAAAATGATGTCTGTAATGTATTTATGGAGCGTGTTCAATAGCGCGAAAAAATATAATTCTCCCCCTAAAAGGACTGAACACCTTTTACAGTTGTGTTCAATAGCCACATAGGATTTCTAAATTTGATTCTTAAAACTCTGATGGTGAGATTTGCTGTTATAATTTCCTTTTTTCGGAAATCGAAACAATTGAAATCTGCCCCACCCCACCCCCACCCCCCCCCCAACCCCCACAACAAAAAATGCTTAGACCTATGTGTAAATATATACATTCTTTAATATGTAAGTTTTATTTGTATAAATTAGAAATAAATTCAATATAATAAAATTCCCAGAAGTTAGACCCTAATTCTCATTCTTATAAAGTGTGTTCCTTAGATAGATTTTTTAAAATAAGTAACTTTACTAGATGGGAAGTTGACGCACCACCACCGCCCCGCTATTTGGCGGACCATCTCTAGTTCATTATCAAACTACCTCACAATTTAAAAAAAAAAGAAAAATAAAGGAAAGGGATATAATTTTAAATGTTGGCAAAACTCTTTAGACATGGACCCCCTTACCCGGAAATTCTACGTTTTGGATTTATTTGAGGACCCTCGTCCGCCTGCACTCCCAAAGTGTGATCCTTCGTTTCGAGGGTCCTGTGTAAAATTCAATACACGTTAACTTTGTATAATACTCTATTTAACACTTTTTTTTTTTTCTTTTTGTTTTTTACTAAACCAGTGGTGCTGCTGTAACGGCAAAGATTGTGTAATGCGCTAAACGCTTACAAAACGAGCTCTTATCTCCGTCGAGAACTTACAAAACTTTCCAAAAAGAAAAACATATCACATTAAAACACTAGCCTTGGAAATGGGTAAATAAGGATAAAGTTGTTTTTTTTTCAACCAACTCAACCATCCTATAGGTGTTTAAAACATCATGCTGTGATCTCATTGCCAACGTTTTTTTTAATTCAAGCCAAAATGCACGCGCCTACCCGATACCCACTGCATGTCCGCGATGCACACTGAATGCCCGTGATGCACAATGCATGTCCGTGATGCACACTGCATGTCCGTGATGCACACTGCATGTCCCTTGTCATCGATCACACCGGCGAACGCAGTTTAAAATATAATGAAGTTAAGTTTAAATGACTTACCTGCTGTGCTCTCACCGCAATGACAAGTGCGTCTCAGTTGAAGTGACAGCTGACAAGCGCGTCTCAGTTGAAGTGACAGTTGACGAGCACGTCGGTTAAAGGGACAGCTGACGAGCGTGCCAGTCAAAGTGACAGTTAACGAGCGCGTGCAGTTGGAGTGACAGTTAACAAGTGCGTAAAATTGATGTGTCAGTTCGTGGGCATGAGGTCTAAGACAAGCTGGTGGTGGTGGGTGGTGTCTTCATTTATTTATGCTTTCTGTCCCTAATGATATGCGCCTGGCCTCCCCCTACCCCCACCCCACACACACACACACCCCACCCACCCTACAACCCTGGGCGTTTGCTTTCGAAATCAGCCTTTTAATGATACGCTCGGAAATTTACGCTTCATGTGTGAGAGAGAAAGGCTTGAACTTGCTAAGGCTTTACGGACAGTCTATTAACAGTGGTTGCATTTGTTCTCCTTTCAGTCCCCCACCCTCCTCCTCTCTATCCCACGTCCTACTTTTTAAAAAGAGCTGAACTGGATTTTTATTGAAAACAACATCAGCAGTTGTTTGTTGGTGTTGGTGTTGGTGTTGCTTTTGTTTGGATTTTTTAATTTAAATGTACTCGTTAATACAACTTTATCTCGGTCGATTTTCGCCTCTGAGTTTTATATTGTTTTTTTTGAAAAATTATTTTATGTTATGTAAGAGCTGATTGCAGGTAAGAGGACATACGATGGAGAATATGTGGTGGGAGGGTGTGTGTGTGTGTTTTTTGGGGGGTAAGGGGGGGGTGGTTGACAACTTGTAACTAAAATAACTTAACAAACAGACATTTTGATTTAGTCGCTTTTTTTAGGGACAAACATAACATGGGCTTTAAAAGAACCACCAAAGAGAAACGGGTTGGGGGGGGGGTTGTTAAGTTACACAATATATATATATATATATTGGGGCCAGGGCCTGGGGATGGGGAGATGTCTGGGGACCAATCTTCCGAGGGCGCCAGAATTGCATAAAATAACTTAACAAACAGACATTTTGATTTAGTCGCTTTTTTTAGGGACAAACATAACATGGGATTTAAAAGAACCACCAAAGAGAAACGGGTTGGGAGGGGGGGTTGTTAAGTTACACAATATATATATATATATTGGGGCCAGGGCCTGGAGATGGGGAGATGTCTGGGGACCAATCTTCAGAGGGCGCCAAAATTGCACAGTATGTGGATTAGAGACCGACCGAATTTCGACTTCGGCTTCGGCGCCGAAAGTGGCCATTTTATCACTTTTGGCCAAGTTTCGGTTTCGGCCGATACTGAAAGTTAACTTTCGACTTAATTTCGGTTTCCGCCGAAAGAGAAAAGTTAACGTTCGTGTTTATTTTTCGGTTTCGGCCGAAATTGACTTAGACTTTCGGTCATCCGGCCGAAAGTGACTGAGGTTTTTAGTCATCTAATTCTCAGCAAAAGCGATATTTAACAACAAACTTAGCAACATTTAAGAACAAACTAAACGATCTCCAAGAACAAACTAAGCGACATTTAAGAACAAACTAAACGATCTTTAAGAAAAAATTAAGCGATCTTTAAGAACAAACTAAACGATCTTTAAAAACAAATAAAGTGATCTTTAAAAACAAATAAAGCGATCTTTAAGAACAAATTATTCGATTTTTGAGAACAAACTAAACGATATTTAACAATAAACTAAGTGACATTTAAAAACAAACTAAACAATCTTTAAAACAAACTAAGCGATTTTTAAGGACGAGCTAAATGATCTTTAAGAACAAAACAAATGATCTTTAAAAGTAAACTAAATGATTTATAAAAATAAACTAAGCGATCTTTAACAGAAAACTAAATGTTCTTTAGGAACAAACTAAAAGATCTTTAAGAACAAACCAATCGATCTTAAGGAACAAAATAAATTATCTATAAGAACAAACTAAGCGATCTTTATGAAAAAACTATGTGATCTTCAACAACAAAATAAGCGATCTTTAAGAACAAACTAAACGATTTTTAATAACAAACAAAAAGCTCTATACCAACAAACTAAATGATCTTTAAGAACAAACTGAATGATCTTTAAGCACAACTAAGCGTTATTTAAGAACAAAATCAATGATCTTTAAGAACAAAATTAGTGATCTTTATGAACAAACTAAACGATCTTTTAATAACACAAACTAAGCGATCTTTAAGGAAAAAAATTAGCGATCTTTTTTGAACAAACTAAATGATCTTTAATAACAAAATAAAAGATCTTTAAACAAAAACTAAGCGATCTTTAAGAACAAACTTAGCGATCTTAAAAAACAAAATAAAGATTTTTTAACAACAAAATAAGCGATCTTTATGAACAAACTAACCGATATTTAAGAACAAATAAAGCGATCATTAACAAAAAAATGAACGACCTTTAACAACAAACTAAGCGATCTTTAAGAACAAACTAAACGATCTTTAACAACAAGATGTTATATTAGATGTTTATTTATTAATATTCACGATTATGTCATTTTGTATAAAAAGATTGTAAATATTTATACTTTCCCCTATCATTTTCGATGTATGCGGAAACAATGCGGGAACGAATTTCAAAATATCTAAATATTTCATTTATTTTTGGTTACGGCTTCGGTTTCGGCCGAAAGTCATTTTTAAACTTACGGCCTATTTTCGGTTTCGGCCGAAATCAGAAAATCACTTTCGGTCGGTCTCTAATGTGGATTAATATTTACAGGGGTAGCGTATTGTTGCTACAGCCTCGCGAAGTCTTAAGTGTTTTCTATCGGGTCATTTTAGTGTCTTTTTATGTTATTCATTTTTTGTAACTATTTTGTTATCCGAACAACAAAAAATTATTATTTTGTTATCCGGGCAATCATAACAGGTATTATTTTGTTATCAAAACAATCAAAACAGGCATTATTTTGCTATCCGAACAATCAAAACAGGTATTATTTTGCTATCCGATCAATCAATCGTCCAGATGCTGCCAAAGTATCAAATCTTAAGGCAGTAGTACCTGCCAGTGAGTGCTTTAGTGAGATTTCTTCATTTCCCTGCCTTTACTGAAATTTCTTTCTTTACCTGTCACTGAACACTTTACAGAAATTTCTTTATTTACAAGTC